GGAGCACCCACAGGGCAGATGCTGTTAATTCGAATCATAGGATGATCAAGGGAATGATAGTCAGCAGACGGAACAAACAGTTTAATGTGAACTCTGAACCATGATACGAGTCTGGTATTCAGTCCCAAAGTTCCTTCATAAAACCTCAAGGTAGCATGCACATGTGGGGACCAAAATGAAGACAGAATACATAAAACCCATCATATCCTTAGTTTTCTTAATGACACTTGAGGATCTCATGACAGCAAATGTGAAGATGGTGTTTTGCATTGTTGCACTTTGTAGTCTGGTAGAAGTTTACCAACATTTCAGAGATGCTTACTTTTTCCATCACTAAGGTGATTTCCCTGATGCACCTTCGAAACACCACTAAACTTCTATATGGTCCCACAAACCAGAAGACAGTTATCTTCTTACCAGTCTTGTTCAAGAAAGAACCTCTTTCCAGAAATGTACATACTTCTGATTACTTCAGTCTAAAAGGGTTGATACCAACTGTTTCGAGAAACATCATTACATTCATATATTGCTTGCTTTTCATTTACGTACCTTGTCTGTGGTGTTCTCAAACACATCTGTGAAGTGTAAATTTATTTTATCCACTAATCCTTGTGTTGGATTATCTAAGTTGTTTAATAAAACAAGGATAGGGACTTCTTTTAAAGCAGGATTGATCAGGAGGCTCTCCAGAAAATCTTTATCCTGAGCCCACTGATCCTCTTGAGTACAATCAACCACATACATAACTCCGTTTACATGCTTGAAATGCTTCTCCCAAGCACAGCGTCCTGAAACACAGAATTTCATTAACTCGGAATCAACAACATTCCAGACTGTGTTAAAAGTTTAATTTGCTTACCTATGGCATGGAAATTCTAAAATATTTCAGTTTCTGTTTTCATTTGAAGATATTTGCTATTTCCATTTAAAAGAGAAGTTAGTTCAGAAAAATTATAATTCAACCATCCATAACACAACAGATTATGAAAACCATTACTGAAAAAGTGATTCAGGGACCAGAAGTTTTAAACACTACATAGTTATTATAATTAAACTTTTTAAAATGGAAATCCCATTTCCTTTCACTTACCTTCATAATCGCCTTTTGTATCATACACAGTATACTCTGTGTTATTTATTTTAATTTTTGTCTCTTCTGCCTCTATACAAATAAAAACAAAAATATAGCTATTTCAAAATGAACACTTTCTAGCTTAGTTTATGTAATTAAATCCACACATCAGAGTCCTTTCATGCAAAGCTAACAGTCAATCAGGAAATAGCACCTCTTTTATGTTCACAAGAGGCTGCCACTTGGCCCCTCAATCCAGTCCATATTTTCTATGTTTGCTATGCCTAGCCCACAACCTTCTTGATTTGATTTCTGATCACTACTAATACCAGAACCATATTTGGAAGGGTATAAACAAATATCCTTACATGAAAGTATTCTATCATTAAATATTAATTTGTTTTATTGGCATTGTGAACTGATGTGCTAGAAGCGTATATGGGTTTCGACTAGATCTACATGCCAAGACGAAATAAATAAACATGATTCACATCACACTTACCCAGGTATCGCCGAACGCCACTGATTATGGTCGAAACACATTGAATAATCTACTGAACACAAAAATCCAGCTTCTGTAATGCAAAATAAAATGTAACACAGCTACTTTTATAATTGCACAATAAATGTGATCTACACATGCGGGTTCTACGGAACAAAGAGCACCATATAAAATACTCCAATGAAATTGATTCAACCATAAATATGGCCCAGATCTTTTACGTCCTAGTGGAATGAATTCACGTAACTCTAGACTTTACTGGCCTCTTCATTGACCGTCAGTCTGCATGTATCAATACGGATTTAATTAACTACACTCTTACCGGTACACAGAAAAATTCATACGCCAATAACTATTAACCACACCAAAAGAACAAACGCAAGGCCACGCCACACCACGCTGACGCCATCATTCCCCTTCATCCCATCTCTAGACGTTGCGTAATTTACAAATTGGCAACCCTGCGTCGAGCAGCCATTTTTCCAATAGCATGTGTTCATTTCATGTCTCTGTGTCACATTTTGGTAATTCTGGCAATGTTTCTTTAGACATAATGCTATTGCACTCTAATAGACTACAGTATTGTGTAAACATAACTTTATATGCACTGGAAAATCAAATAATTCTTGCGACTCGCTTACATTGTCATATACAGAAGCTATTAAATTTCTATATTAGTAATATCTGGGAGTTGTTGCCCACGCCTCAGACCGCGCGGCCACTGCGGACCCCGAGTAGATACTAGCAAACATAAAAACTTCAGTCATAATTCTGGGCATCAAGTTTCAGTCACTCTGAACCTTCATTGCATACATTGTTTATTCTGAAGCAGAGTTATATGTGACTTGCCACTGTCTGAAATTATGTACTACAAAATTTAAAATTAAGTTGAGAACTAGAAATTAAAAAGTACAAGTTGTCTTGCAGTAGTGTATATAGTGCATATAAAACCAATAACACACAGTAGTACAATTAATCACATCAATCTGTAATCACAAGTTTAGTTATTCAAAATAATTAACCTTCGACCATATTAAAGTTACTTTGTACACTATAATCTTAAGTTTGAGGTTAGATATCGTTTGTAGACGTGTATACTGATTATTCGCAAGATTTTTTTGGAAGTTAGAGGTGTTTATTATTGTTCTTACTTCTGTGACATGTGTCATGCTGTGGGGCCTTTAGTATAATATTGTGACTAAATTTGCTTTGACTACGTGCCAATCTAAGTGATTTAGTTTTGTTGACTTGAACGTATTGATTTCAATACAGGATGTTGATGTCTTTATTATTGTTGATAGGTGAATGAAGCTTAGGTGTTTTGAACGAATGGATAGTTCCATGGAAACTCAAAAGTTTGTTAATAATGTTCCAAAAAAGGAACCCACTCCTTCAAAACAATAATAAATTAGGAAAATATTAAATGAGTCACAGAGATTATATAACAGCAGGAACTACTCTGTACACATTCACACCAATCTCTTGCATTTTGGTGGTGCTTGAGATGCAGCTGTGCTGTAAACATGGACAAGTGTATGGGTGTATGAGTTAATTTGCTGATAGCTGTACATGCAAAGCAAGTAGACACGGATCGACCCGTTCTGCAAGTGCCTGAGCACTCCTCCATGCCTTGAGTGGGATTCGAACCCACGGTCACAGCGACCAAGCGGCAGAAGGCCCACGCCTCAGACCGCGCGGCCACTGCGGACCCCGAGTAGATACTAGCAAACACAAATACTTCAGTCATTTGTATGCTGCCTACATACAGGTACAAAGCATGCATTTAAAAAATTCACATTCAAAATTCTACTAGAATAACATCAAAAGTCCTATGTACTACATGGGTACCATGTCTCATGGTAATTAAAGTTTAATCTATTCCATCATATCTGCAGTTACTCTGTCTGCATCACTTCTCTTATTACTGATACCACTACCCCATTTCACTTTCCACAACTAATCTTGTATCCCTTCCCTTTTATTCACCTATTGCACTGGTAAGAACCACCATAACAAGCAATAGATCAGTACAACAATAGTGTCACTAAGCATGAGGTGAAGATTCAACATTCTCTGATTGTACATTTTATTGAAAGAAAACAATATTTATGATTAGTAATGCCCATTCAAACTTCAAACCTGTCACTCATTTCTTTCCACAAAAATTTTGTTCATATCACTGTGGCAAAGCACATAAATCCATCAGTGAAAATGAAGAGCTCTGTAGAGGAGACTGAATACTGACATTACCTACAGCAAGAACCTTGCAAAATGCACATGTAGGAATGAAATTGAGAAAAATCCCAATACAAAGAGACAATGTTTCTTGAGATTTAAGGTTTTCAGTGTTGAAAAACAGGGCTGTGGCCTTCTGGATAGAACACTGTATAGTCCTGCAGATGGTTAAAAATGTTATGTAGGAACTTATAGCCTTCATGTGCTTAGTGATATATTCCGATTTTGGGGGACGAATCGGATCGCCGTATTCAATTCAAAATTTATGAAGGATTACTGTGATAGCGCGCTTGTGATGTTGTGGCGCTCTCTCAAGTGTTGGACTACAAGTCGTGCAGACGTGGTTTATTATAAAGGTAATATTCATTCAACATCTAACGCTTAACCTTATAGCTAAACCTCAAAATTATAAAATTACACATACGAATTCACACTTATTAGTTTGTATTTATTCTCTGTTGTGTGCTACTGAATCCAGTCTTTCCGCATCAGTGTGTTTCAATTTGTGAATAAGTTAATTGATTTAAACCATAAGTTAAATCTCACTTCAGAGGCAACATTTTCATGGCTATCTCTGATTCTAATAAACTTCTGGAGACTTGTTAGGTCTCCTTATAAAGTGAATTAAAGTAGTTCTGTCCCACTATACGCCATGTAGGCGCTTGGGAGGAGAGGCAGTATAACTCCCACTCTTTCTTAGGGGCAAATGGTCAGCATCATGCCCCGCCCGCACTTTACCACTGCACCGAAGTAAGAAATGTTGTATCCGAAACAGCGCTGGTCCAGCTACTGGGATTGAAACCGTGGCTATATCAGTAGAAGAACGTAGGAGGCTGGGTGGGCCCCAGAACTGGTCTGGATGCAGAAGCTAGATGAAAAATCCTCTGGTCCTAGTTGAGATATTGAGCTTACTCTTGAACCAATTGAAAGCTGTTAAGCAAGGCTTTAATTCGGTAGGTTCTTGATGACACAAGTCCACATATCGCATATATCAAAATTCATCTCTGCCGCCACGTACCTGCAATTTTAAATATTAAAAGTGAAAACAAACCCTCTTTCACCATGACAAATCAATTGTGATTCTTATCTCATCTGCTGCTTTAAATAAATATACTACATGTGCTATTTACTTTAATACCACATAATAAAATGTGGTTTCCAACCTCATTACTTGGCTACCAGCATTAATTTCTGCAACTGGTTTTTATAAGCATTTCATAACAGTGAAGTTGACCATCAACTGTCTTTTTTCACAGATTAACACATACTTTCATTTGCGCTAACATGTTTCCTCCCAGAATAATCAATACTGGAGTTAATCCACAAGTTGCTTTTAAAATAATTTAAATGTATTCAAATTGTGTAGAGAGAGTGTGTTTGTACAGTAGCGGCATTTCCAGCACATAAAAAAATGGAAAGGCAATTTTATTTGTTTTATGGAGCAATACTTGACTACAGGAAAATCTAGTAGCACTTAGCAGTGAATCATGAAGATCCTGCCAGGAGCTGCAAACTGACAATTGTGTTTGAATTTGTAAGTGGACACACTGCATAAAACACGTTCATAACAGATATGAATGTCACACAATTCATTTGATATCTGATAAGTAATCCTACATTTTAATTTTCTGAGAAGCAAACAGAGTACCTAAGAAATACATTACATACAGTGAGCATGGAAGGTGGAGTGCTGATATGGATGGTATGCATATCGCACTGTAATGGGTAATGTCACTGTTTAACTAAGCACCATGCCATCAAGACAAATGGAAGTATAACTCAACACGCTAACTTCTTACATATACGTTCCACTTCCGAAACACACATCCAAGAAACTTGGTAACATCTATATCAAGAATAAGAAAGAAATGATACACCAAACTGAAGTTATGTCTAAAGCTTGACTTTGAAACAAATTTAATAAAACTGTAGAGATTTATTCAATTTTATTCTTCACGGCGATACTCATAATACCTTCCGAAAAACCTAATATCACGGGAAAAAGACCACCGGAAAAATGGTTAGAAAAAAGGAATCATCGTATTACTAACTTCAAATACTACCTCCCGGTAGTAAACATAAGAGTTTAAAATTTCCATGCCCACCTGTGACAACCCACGTCCGTCATTCATAAGACGTTTTCCCTCTTTCCTACGGCCAAACATTGTGAAATACCTAATATTAATCAGTATCTACAAAGTTTGCTGTATAACCCATACACAAGCAAATTAAACATATTCATTACTCATTCAACTGCAACATGGTCGCCAATAGTGGTGTACTAAATTGCTTTCTCCAACAGGGTTGCCAACTGACGATTATTGTCATTATCATTACAAATAAATCAGAATTACCCACTGTGTGCAATGTAACCAATTACGTTTTGCATGTCTATTATCTTTTTACTAACAGAGGGCCCACAGTGTTACTGTAGGAATATTCTACAATTACTTACATTTCTTACCAATTATTATTGCCCGAAAGCTTTCCACAGGCCTGATAATTTGATATATGTCGCTGAATATAATAGGAA